TGCGACACTTTTTATATATAAATTCCAGTGGATTGCAAACAGCTTCGTGATTGAATTAATCCTCCAGTCTTTTGAACAATGTGGTGGCAATTAACATAGTCGGTCCAAAAAAATTATTCTAGATATCAATAGGTTACTATGATTTTGTTTGTATATTAAACGTTTAATTTTGCCAACGTCTCAGCCACGACAAATTATTATTATTATTTTACTTTGTCCTTTTGTTTGACAATTATATAATTTATTTGCACAACAGGACGTCGTTTCATAAACAGAACAATTTGAATAGATGACGGATTCTGTTCTGTACCGAAAGAAAAGAAAAAGAGCACGGAAAGAAGAAAAAGAAAAGATGACCCAATTTCTTAGAATTCTTTTATTTATTTATTTTTAAAGAAAGGGGCGAAGACGACAACATGACATGTTTCTAGTAGTACACGTCCATCATCTTCCCCCTTAACATGGCTTCGGCTTTCCTCACTTGCTTCACTGGTCCTATGATGAACACCTACATCAAAACCAAATAAAAATTAGAAAAAGAATTTGAAACTTTTCCTAATTCCAGTTGTTTTTTGCTTTGATGATGAAATCATATAAGCAAAGGTCTGAATTTGAATATGAGAAATAATTTTAAAAAACACTTGGATTAATTTTACGCCTACTCTGAAACTGTTATATAAATGACCGACCTTATCGGGTGGGCCCTTATCACCTCCAATGAGAATTTCCGCACTGTAAAATTGTACCATTGAAGTAATAATAAGTGGGGAGAGATGGAGACAAAAATGGAGCACAAACTACCGAAACATGCAGAGATAGAGATAGAATGGTACTTGCAAGATTCCTTTATTGACAAAATGGAAGCTCCTCTTCTCCCGATAACACGTCCCATCTTTCCTGGAGGAACATCAAGCACTGAAAGGATTTCTTCCTCCGGAGCATTGCCATCCACTATTAGGTTATCTGCTAGAAGAAATAACATATGAATTAGCATTCAAGTTTTTTTGAAACGCAATTAGTATTCAATTAAATGTACACTCTAAAGTGCTTTGCTGCACATTCCAACAAAGACCGTATGCTGTCAAGTACATTAGGGAAACACTATGGTCTAATGTCATACATAAAACGGTATCCATAGTAAGTTTAGGAGGCTAGAGATTCTACTAATGGATGACATGCACATAATTCTATAAAAAATTAGCAATGAGGACATTAATGGATGACATGCACATAATGCTTAGTGGCAGAATTAATTGGAGCCGAATTACGAACATCAGCCCCAGACAAAATAGCTTTAAGCTTGTATTCATATGAGAACGTATTTATATGAATGCAAAACATTTCATCTCATTTTGAAGTCTTAGTATAGTTGTGAAGGAGGATTCGATACCTGGAATAGGGGGGAGAGGTGGCCAGTCTGCAAAATTGTTGTCGTTGATGCAAAAACATCTGCAATAGAGAGCACCTCGAACTGCAAGATACCATAATGACTGTTGATTCAATTTCTCCATCATCTTGTAATAGATATACAGAAGAAAGCGGACATCATCTGCAGCTGCACGGACCATCTGTTCAGATAAAGGTCTGTATGTCCAAAAATTGGGGTCCTGTACATTACATATAAAATAAATGTCATTTGACAGAAGATCCTAGTCCCAAACAATACTGTGGCTGCACTGGTAAAACTACAGGTCTAGAAGCAAATTTATCTAAAGCCCTTTGCTAGGTGTAAAGCAAATATGAATCAACAAAATAGACAAATTTAAGTTATAAGGCTAATGCTCTGTTGATAACCTCAAGTTTAAAACCACTGTAGAGTGATTCTAAACCTATTGTTCATCGGACTGTAATCTCATTATCACATCCCAGTCACCACACCGACTTAAACCTTCAATATATTTTATTAGAAATCTAGTATAGTATCAGATAACAATAAGAAGACTAGTAACAAACTGAGTTATACGGCAAATCTAAACATAGAGAATAAGAAAACGAAAAAAATCCAGAACAATTCTTAGGATGTTGACACTAACCTGCCTAAGGAGGAATCGAACTTCTTCCTTCTCAAGATAAGATATTCCTGCATTCAAACTCTTACGGTGAAAACTGAAGCCATATGTGAAGATCAAAACTTAATAGTCCAATGCACCATGCCCTCATGTCTATTTTTATTTTTTCATCCAGAAAACTTCTGGTATGGAATAAGCTAACGTAAAATACTTGGAGGCAGTACTTCAAGAATGATCTTTCAAATAAATTCCCCGTTAAGTTTAATTCGAAACTCATAGAAAAATAAAAGCATAATTTAATTTCATAAAATCAATGTAATCCAAAAGCATAATCAAATATGATCAGAAACAGAAACTTCAAATGGATACCACGAAATATATAATACCACAATAGCGTGGATCAGCAAGTAGGCCCACAAATGATATATAATCATCCAGCAATCTTTTCCTCCCTTCTTGTTCCTCTATCAGCGAATAGGCAATCTGAATACCAAAAGGGAAATTTCAAATCACTTGGCATATGAGTATTTTCTCCATCTCAATTATATTACTTCTCTAACTACCATCATACGTTTCTCTTAAAACAACAATCCATTGAAAGAATTCAAAATTATCTTATAAATCAACGTTTCTCTTAAAAAAACAATCCATTGAAAAGTTAAAGCCAGTGATAAAGGATGCTCACCTGAGTATCTACAACATTGTTCAACTTGATGCCAAACTGAAAATACAAGGCCTATAAAATAGGACAAAATTCAATCATGGGAGTGAAATGTCATATTACAAGAAGGTACATGATGGGATGCAAATAAAACCAATCAGAGACCTCGCTATCTCGTTTGCAGTCGTGAATAACTTTGGTGATGTAGCTAGACTCAAGTGCAGGCTTACAGGCTTGGATAAGCATAGCCCCTCCCTGAATGGCATCAACCAGATATATAGCATCTGGAAATGCAAGCTGACAGAAAGAAAACACATCATTTTATTAGAAAACAAGAACGAGAACCAGGGATATAAGTAGCAGAAAATTCACAATAAAGAAGACCTATAAGTAAGATAGCTCTCGTTATTTTCTTTAGCTGCATCGGAATACAAGCACATGGCTGAAATTCAATCAGAAACCAATCAACAACCAATTTGGGATGCAAATAACTGCTTTTATTTTTTATTTATTCTTTTGTTTGTGGTAGTTTAGTAGCAACCCATATGTCCTTGTTTGGATTAGGCACACATCTACTAAATGAGGTTGATTGGAACTAAATTTGAAGTCTTGACCCAAAAAAAAAAAAAAAAAAAAAAACTAAATTTGAAGTGGAACAAATATTCATAAGAGTACAGAGTAAGTATAACTCTACATACCTGCATGATACAGAGTGTTCCATGACGGCACAAGTCAACTCCCTCACAATCAAAGCCAATTACCAATTGCCTTTCAGCTGATGGCTCCAGGAACTCGGCAGGAAGCTGAGATGCATGAGTGACTACATGAATAGGAACCAGCGGCAACTGGGGTTCATTATTTAGGGGTTTCTCACCTGCAATACACACAAAATAGCTCAAATTTACAGGTTAATGGGTGCTCCAGAAAATTAAAGAAAAAAAAAGAAATCTTTTTTAGTTCAAATTCATAAACCCACTTCAAAATCATTTGGGGTCACGCATATATGGAAATCGATCATCAAAGATTCAACATTTTGCATATACTTTTTTCTTTCCCACATTTTTCCCAGCAAGCAAATGAGCAAACCCGAAGGAAACATGAAATCAAAGGCACACGAAACTTGTAATAAAAATGAGAACTTTCGTGAATTGGATCGGATTGAAAGGACCCACCTGGGTCAGGCGATAGAGGAAGGTGTGTCTGATATGGAGGAGGTAAAGAGGCCATGTGATCGGACCATCCACGCCAATCTAATTTTGCCTCTGAAACCAACTAACCCTGGTTCTCTCTCCGCTTCACCAAATATTATGTCCATTTCTTTTATTATATTTTTATTTTTAGTTTGAGAAAGCCGACAGCCCGTGGGGGTCACCCGACCCGATTTCATTTTTAACAAACCAATTGAGAAAAATTGAAACCTTTTTTTGGTTTGACTAAGAAAAATGAATACTTCTAAACTTGTAGTAGGAGTGGACCACATTCCCCCTAACCCAAAACTAATCTAAAGTGCAATATTTTCTATATTATATACTACCATTTGTGATCTTGCCCCTGTTATCTGAGAAAATCATGTTGGGTTTAATGTTTATAAAAGGCAAAAGTATGGAATCAGATAAAAATAGTTTTGGTTGTGTGTGACGACTGCAGATTTTACCGAATCAAACTTTCTGTGTTGCTTGTCAAGCTGTTCACCATTTAGATCCCACTCTCCAAAAAAGTTACTAACACGTGTCCTTATGTTCAAGCTACACCTAGGATCAAAAAGTGCAAAATTGACCCAAATGGCCAATCTTGAGGGCAAAATAGAGATTATCACAAAATAGAAAGAAAAAAAAATAAAAGAGTAAGATAAATGCTACCGTCAATCGTATGTGCACTATGCACGTGTCTCGTTAGACATTAGTGAATTGTGAGACTCATTTCATCGATTACTTATAATCATACGTCCGCATAAATAAAAAAACTTATAATCATGCACATACATCAACTTACTCGAATGTAACTCATACGCGACCGAGATAAAGAGTATGAATATGAGACACTTATCAGAATTGAGAATAAAATAAAAATACCATAGGTAGTTGGGTTTGTACGGTGTATATTCATTTTTCCTATGATCTCAACTTAAATGGCCTCATCCGTCTTTGTTGAGTTGAATTATGTTCAGAAAAAGTAGTTAAAAAAAGAGTAAATCATTGGTTCAGACAAAAATATATTATACCAGGAGTAGTCTTGAGAAAAAGATAATACCAAGTTGGCAATAATGGCAACAGATGGTCTTTTTCTATTCTTAAGAGGAGGTTCTAGTCTTCTTCTGGGTCTATCCCAAACAAGGGCCCAACCAACCCCCGCACTTTTCACTTTCCCTTTTTCTAGAAGACGATCCCTTTGCGGAATCCCTAAAATAAGCCTTAGCCTTTCTCAGCCCTCAACTCCCAATCTCTTTCTTGGCTCTTCTTTTATTCCTATCCCTTCTTTTCCACAATTCACGCTTTTAGTTCGTTCCTCCATCAGTTTCAGTTCTCAAGTACCCTTTTTTCCCAGCTGGGTTGTGAAGAAATCTCTCATTTTTTTCAAAGGGAATCTGTTTACTTTTGGTGTTTGACATCTGGGTCTTGCCTAATTTGGAGCTTGGTTTTTTTGGGTGTGATAAGCTGAGTCTGTTTATGTCGGTTCAGGTTTTAGAAGCCTGGCCTGCTTCTGGGTTTTCTGGAATTTGATCTATTATCAGAAAGGAGAAGGCTTTTAGCTAGCTGGGATTTTGTTAGATCCCTTTTGGTATTCTCGTTTTAGCGAGCACAATTTCAACAAAAGAGCTGTTTTTGGTGCATGGGTTTGAACAAGTTTGAGTTTTTGAGGGTGGGTTTTGGGAATTTAAAGTAAGAATAGATTTTTGGACTTGGTGTTGGTGTTGAAAATGAAGAGAGGGAACGAAGAAAAGGTTATGGGACCTATGTTCCCAAGACTCCATGTGAATGATGCAGATAAAGGAGGGCCAAGAGCACCTCCAAGGAATAAGATGGCGCTCTATGAACAGCTCAGTATCCCTTCTCAGAGGTTCAACCCTGTGGTGATGCCTCTTAATCCAAATAGCACTAGCAGTGTGGTTCCCTCAGCTTTCTCGAGCCAGGTAAATTCATAATTTGTGCCTAACTTTATCGTTTAAGGTTTACTGATGATTAGTTTTGAAGTGTTATCCTTTTAAGCTTTAGTTAGGTTATGGATTTCACTAGGTTTGTTTTCTGTTTTTGTAGTAGCTAACTACAAATTTTGTTTTATGCTATATCCAGTAGTTTTGCATGCTACTATGTACATGTGTTGTGTTTTATTGCCAATTTTGTTTTATGCTATATCCAGTAGTTTTGCATATCTACACTTTAAGAGGGGAAAATCAATAGTGTATTCAGAAATAGTATTGGAAGCTTCTATAGGGAAAATTGGTTATTGCCTATCTGATTTTTCTGGAGCAATTTATGTTTTCAGGGGAGTCGTTCTGAAGGAAATTTGCCTGTTCCGCTTCATGTTCGTCCATCTACACCTACTCGTCAGGCTGAGATGTTTCATGCTCGTCAATCTGATGGAGCAAATGAGAACACGCCCTTGACACAACCCGACCAAAGAAAGAAGGTTGGAGAGGAGGATGATTTTAGGGTGCCTGTATTTGTTCAATCAAGGATGGGTCTTTGTCATAGTAAAACTCAAATTGGTATTGATAAGGAAAAACTTGCTCCAATCGGCCCATCTCATTCTGGCCATACACATTCTGGCCATACAGTGAAACTAAAAAATGTGGGCAAGAACGATCCAAAACAATTAAGCTCCCCAACTACTTTCAATTTGAGACGAGAATTGAGAAGTGAAAGAGAAGAGGATCTAATAAAAGTGAGTGGCCCGGCTAGGGACCATTCAGCAAAATCTGCTACAAAAATATCATGTAGACAAAAGATTGATGGGCCTGCAGAAGAAGTAAGTGCATCTCCAAATCAAGAGTATGCAGACTGCCCTGTTCCTAGATTCAGCAGGTTATCTGAGAGTGATGCTTGCTTACAACAAGAGTCTAGATCTGGATCACAGCCAAACATCACTGGGCAAGGTGATGGTCTTGTCGAATGTACAAGAGATGCAGAGAAGGGAGCTGTTTTCCAGGAAAGAAGTCTGTCTTATTCTGGGGAGGATCCTGGTGGTCCCAATGAACTTGATAATGACAGTGAATACCATGGAGATAGAACGTGTATTTCACCTCAAATGGGACATGTAGACAAAAGTGATGATGTCTCAGAGACCTCCATGGTGGATTCTGTATCTGGCTTGGACATCTCTCCCGATGACGTTGTCGGAATAATAGGTCAGAAACATTTCTGGAAGGCAAGAAAAGCAATCGTCAAGTAAGTCTCTATTTTCTCCAATAGCTGCTCCAATTCAGTTGTTACTTTCTGCTTAATTTGAAGTTTACCTTTTTCCAAATATAGTACACATTTAGCTGTCCTTGTGAAGCATTTTGGTCTCATAATACCTCTGTTTTATTTAATATTTCCGCACTTAGACTTTGGATTTTTTGTTTCATAAGCGTTTTAGACTGTTATTTACACCATCGAATATAACAACTAGGAGTATAGACTGAATTTTGTTTTAAATGCGACTTTGAGGGAGGTGATATTTCATAGTGCAGAGTCCCTGGATCCCTTCTAAAGTGGAATTTCTATTTGTTAAAAGGCCCTCGATAACATTTTAACAGTGGATATGGATCATCTTACAGCAGGGAAACATACATCTTAATAGAGTTATCTTGTGCAACGCGACCTCCGAGACAGCGGATGATCTCATTATTCATTGCCTTTTTGTATCTGCCTTTCGGGTGTATTCCTGTCTCGGTTTCGTAATGCTTTGGTTTTTTGGCCACTGGGAAAATTTTCCCTTCATGGCACTTGAGGGCTGGGAGCAAGGAGGGGAACAAGTGATGAAGGATTATCCTTGGGACTACATTTTGTGGATCTTGGACTATATTTGACATTGTGGAATTGGTGGTGGACATGGTGGTGAGGAGGATTACATCTCTTACGTAGTGCTTTGATCTCCTGTGTTGGAAGATTTTGTTGGGTTGGGGTTGCGTACTCTTTTTATATGCTTTATAGAATATGAGATTCCCCTATATATGGCTTCTTCTCATCATCACATATTCTTTTTTCATTATTGAAGGTTTTGTTTTTTTTCTTCTTCTTTCTGTACTATAAGAAAAGAGCTGTAAGTATTTACATGTGAATTAGAAAGCTCTATTATGCGCTTGCTGTCCGACTTTGTTGTAACGAGGATCATTTATGACATCCGTACAACTGAATGTATAGTTTTTATATGGTTTTAATTGAATATTACATATTTGGAGCTCTAATTATGTGAAATAAAGGAGATTTGCAGACATCTTGATTTATATTGCAGATAGTTGCTATGTTTTGGAATCTGTTTTAGCATTTAGCTTTCGTTTATATTGCTCTGAAGATATTGTTTTTAGCATTTAGCTTTCCTTGTTATTGTATTCATTATTATTATTATTGTTATTATTTTACTGATCTGAAGTTCCTCATTGTTTATAACTATTTTCTGATGTGCAATTTTCTGAATCCATCCTTAAGATGTTTGCTTCTCATGTTTGGTAAATGTCATATTTGCCTGCACTCCTGATCAATATCAAGTCTAAGGATTAGCTAGGGGGGTGTGGTCATGTGGAGTTAATAGGCTATGGTGCTTTTCATGGGGTAAGCAGATATTTTGTGATTAAAGCACCTAGTCCTTTGGCTGTTATCTCTCAAATAATGTGAGTTTTATATGGAATATATTACACAGTGAGGATTGTTTTGGTATAAATGATTCTATCAAGTGCCTGATCCTTCATTTCTGTCCAGTTTTTGTTTTTGTGTTTTTGTATTTTTGTATTGGTTTCGGTTTTGTGTTTTGCCAAGTTTCATATGATTTGGTATATGTTGTATAATTATGTTTTTGATCCAACCCCTGTTACTTTCTACAGTCAGCAAAGATTGTTTGCAGTGCAAGTATTTGAGTTGCATAGGCTCATTAAGGTAAGACTATAACATAGTCTCTGACCCTGTAATTCTGCTCCTCCTGGAATACAATTATGAGATGCAAATAAACATAAATGTGTATATAGTCCCAAAAAGAAAAATGTATATGTAAACACAGAATAAATGATGCTATTTGAACCCCAAAAGGACTACAGGAGGGCAGATTTTTAACTTTCTAGTTCTTTTCAACAGGTTCAACGACTGATTGCTGGGGCTCCTAATCTTTTGCTTGAAGATACTGCTTTCCTAGGCACATCTTCTTTAAGGGGTTCTCCTGCAAAGAAACTTTCGTCAGAGTATGTTGTAAAGCCACTACTACGTGTTGTAAAGCGCAAACATGAACCTGAGAAGCCAAACAACAAAATTGAATGTTCCGCAGAAAATGCAGTTGGGAAAACATCTCTTTCTTCTGTGAAAAATGGTAGTCAGACTTCAAATTATGGGCCATATGTAGGGAACCCACAGCCAACACCTGTCGGTACTGATAATAAAGCCAGTCCTTGGTGTTTCCATCAATCACCTGGACACCAGTTGTTAATTCCTGTAATGTCTCCCTCTGAAGGACTTGTATATAAGCCGTATCATGGACCTGGATTTGTGGGACCGGTTTGTGGAGGATGTGGACCGTTCAACTCAACTCCCATGACTGGTAACTTTGTTAAGCCAAACTATGGGGTTCCAGCTTCTCATCATCATCAAGGGACGGGGGTTCTTCCTGTCCCTCCTCCATTAGGCCATACTTACTTTCCTCCATATGGCATGTCCGTTATGAATCCAGCCATGCCAAGCTCAGGCGTTGAACAAATGCATTGGTTTGCCGGACCTGGTTCACATGGTCAAATCGATCAGTTATCAGGAGGGGGAACAAACTCTAATGTGCAGCATCAAAGCTCATGCAATATGCCATCCCAGAAAAGTGGAGCTATTCCTCATGCCATGATGTTTCAGGCATCTAACGACAGTGAGCTACAAGGAAGTACCACAAATAGTCCAGGTGACAGAGCACGATTGGGGACAGATCGAAATGCTGAAGGAAGTGATGCTCTTCAACTTTTTCCCATGTCTCCGGTAATTCCAGGAGGAGTTGCCCAACCTCATGATTCAGGCCAGCCAACACGAGCGATTAGAGTTGTGCCGCACAATCCAAGAACTGCAACTGCATCGGCTGCTCGTATTTTCCAATCTATACAAGAAGAGAGAAAACAGCATGATTCGATCTAGCTGATTTTCTCTCATTGGCTTGCAAATGATATTGGTCTCATCCAAGTTGGTGTGGCCTGGTCTTTTCCGCTGTACCATTTTGGTATGATATTCTGTAATGGGGTTTTCCTTATTTCTTGATCTTGTGATTGTATATTCTTCGTATATGTACATCTTGTATGCCTATGGAATACCACAACCAGAGCAGTGTAATCTGAATATGCGATATTTCCCCTCATGTATTGTGTTATTGGGCATAGGTAGCAACTATTTGAGTAATAGGAGTAATTGCCTTTTTTGAATATCTGATATTGTTGTCTTGAAGTTCAAGCTAAAAAGTAAAAATCAAGTTCCAGAAATTGTACCGTCCTTTTATGTTACTTTCGATCCAAGCTTTGTCAATACTGGACAAGTGATCACCTTAATTACCAAACTCAAAATCCATCTTAATTATTCACCAAATTTAAAATAAGAAAGATGAAAAAAAAACCCAGTCTTTCGAAACCTCAGAATGTGAGGAGGCCAATAAAGTTAATATGGCTATTAGACCAATTATGTTGATTAATCTCTTGCAATTTGGCTTTTATATGCTCATATATGTACATGCATCTCTGTGAAAGCACAACCAGTAAGCAATGCAAGAGGATCGCAGACACAATGGGACCAAAATTATAAGTCCATTTCTGATCGCTTATAAATCAATAACAATAGGCTTCAAATATAAAATAGTCTTGCTACATTGGCTCAAGCCATCATATATTTGGACATTATTTCAAGAAAAAAACTAAGGAAATTAAGCGTCCTCATTTGAGATTATGAACAACTTAGGGACAATAAGGAGGATTTCGACCCGGTCCGCCAAAGTAAAACACAGGTTCTTGAGCAAGAGACAGAGCATAGTTCAATGCAGAGTAGCAATAATCTTCATCTGAATAAGTGCCTACCCATTCTGGGTACTTCAATTGCTTTGAATAATCTATAATCCTAACTTGCTTCACATAGCATGCATTGCCCAATTTGCCCGATGCAAAATCTCCACTTCCCATCCCCGTTCCAGTGTGTGGATGATTTTGCTTCACCTTGGAGCTAAACACTTCTCCTCCCCATTCAACTAATGTTGCAGCACCGCGTGTCAAATAATAGAAGAGCTCTCCAGGAAAATATCCCACAGGAACGTTTTGGCCAATACGCACCCACCAATTTCCCGTGCTTGGTTCCTACAACATATGTTTTAAACCGTCACATTTATGTTCAACAATGGAAATGTATTTTTTGTGCGCCAAATTTAGGAAGGAGATGGGGTTTTCTCACACACGCAACTGTCAATGTGCTATGGGGATTCGAACTTGAGACCACTGGTTTGCAAGTCAAAGCCCTTTTCACTTGGCTAAATCCCGTTGACTAACAATGGAAATGATTTGAATGGACGAAAAGTGATTAAGATTTTCAAACCTTGGTGATGCTGAAAGTGGTTTGATATTGAGGTCCCATTTTAGATGATACAGGTCCAAGGACCATACCGAGGGCTATGTCTTTATTGGTTTGCACAAATCCTGGGCAGGTGAGATCAAAGCAACCTGATGATTTGTACGAGTCCTTCTGAAAAAACCCCCCCCCCCCAAAAAAAAAAAAAAAAAAAAAAAAAAAAAACATTTCAGATGGAGCAACCATAATATATGCTGCATTTTCCTGTTCTTTTGATCATTTTGTAATGAAGTACTTACAGTCCAATATACAAAAAGTCGAGTTGCTCCATTACCGTATACCTTTGGGTTTACCTGTCCAAAGCCAAACGAAGAGGAGCAAAAAAGAGTAGCAGTTATATACACATATGTGGAGTGATTTTGAGGAACTGATAGTTGAAAAGTAATATTTTTCAAATGAAGTTACCATAATATACTACTTACCACCCAGCCTGATTCTACACTTTCAAAAGCCTCTCCAGGTCCATTCTTAAGCCAGATTTGAGCAGTAGTGAACTCATCTGGTGATTCAACTCTTGGAGTCCAAATATTTATATCTCCTTGAGCACCAATATAATTGTATCCAGTAGTTAACAGGATAGCAGCCTAGCAAACACAGTTTTGCACAAGTTAGACAAGGATCAAAGTAAACTTTGTTAATTAAATCTTCACAGGCACATTTCAGATGGAGCAACCATAATATATGCTGCATTTTCCTGTTCTTTTGATCATTTTGTAATGAAGTACTTACAGTCCAATATACAAAAAGTCGAGTTGCTCCATTACCGTATACCTTTGGGTTTACCTGTCCAAAGCCAAACGAAGAGGAGCAAAAAAGAGTAGCAGTTATATACACATATGTGGAGTGATTTTGAGGAACTGATAGTTGAAAAGTAATATTTTTCAAATGAAGTTACCATAATATACTACTTACCACCCAGCCTGATTCTACACTTTCAAAAGCCTCTCCAGGTCCATTCTTAAGCCAGATTTGAGCAGTAGTGAACTCATCTGGTGATTCAACTCTTGGAGTCCAAATATTTATATCTCCTTGAGCACCAATATAATTGTATCCAGTAGTTAACAGGATAGCAGCCTAGCAAACACAGTTTTGCACAAGTTAGACAAGGATCAAAGTAAACTTTGTTAATTAAATCTTCACGGTGTTTGCTTACTGAACGATTGACTTGAGGCCCGAGTTCGACTCGGGTGCTGTTGATGTACACAGTGCCTTTGTCATCTGTGGGGGAGTAGGAAGAATGCACTGGCATTTTCTTCCCAAAGTTTTCAAGTGAAGTAGCTCTCAATAAATCTTGCTTTCGAATTCTCCGAATGGGAATGGTTCCGTCTGGACAGCTTCCACTCCTTTGCCAAATTTGAGATACCAGCTGAGAGGAATTATGATCATTTTGTACATGACTACTGGGTCTCATCTGCAATATTATACACCAACTATATCAACATTTGGAAGAAAACATGATTGTTTTTAAAAAGTTTTTAAAACTTGGAGAATGTTTTATTTTTTGCTTCATACATTCTCCAACTGTACAGAGGTTTAAAAGTCGACCTGAATTTTGTGGTTGCGCAATGCCGGATGATCAAAAGCAGGCTGTTTGTAGATGTCAACACAGTCAATGATATCTCCATCCTCACTCTGCAAGAAATCAAATAATCAAGTGGTAAAACATGCAGTCAGTCCTCTGAGCCTACCAAGTTATAGCAGTAGCAGAACAAAGAAGAAATTGTGAAATTTAAGACAGCAGAGGCAATAGCACAAAGGGTTGAGCTAAATTTTGAAATAGAGAAGAATGATGAAAGAAAATTATATAACAGATCTGATATAGATAAAATTCTGTGAAAGTGTGATTAGTCAGAAAGCTAATAAAAATGGCGGAAAATCAGACCTTGATAGTCTTCACGCCACGCTTATTCAAAAGCTTCAACTTCTTATGAACTTCCAAAGAAATTCGTTTAGTTCTAGCATTCACATGGTGATGTTCTGCTGCACTAACACAAAAAACAAACAATCCCAATGCTAACGAGAGGATTAAAGCCCTCTTCTTCCCCATCTTCAATCTCTTTTTGTGTCTCACTTACACTCTTGCACACACAGAGAGATACAATCAAGCTATAGATAAAATTAACAGGATAATTAGGTAGTAAAATTAACCTTTGAGAAACCACATTAAGGCGTGTCTGGTTGAAAAGAAAGAAGATAATGTGTTATTGTATATATGATGCAAGTCCTCGCGGCTTCATCCACATGTCAAATGTGCAGTTCATGCACGTCTCTCTTAAATATAGAAACATAATAAGTACTCTTGTCTTGGTGCAATATTTGGACATAATTGCATGTACAGAAAACGGGTTTTATCTTTATCCAGTGAATTAAGATGTTCCCATTAGCAGCATTTTGTCCTTTTATTTAATTTAGAGAGTCACATCTTGTGAATGGTGGCATTTGCTTAAGATATCTCTCGCCTTTCTGTCTCACTTTCTTCTAAGATATGCTAATGCTATACCAATTACATACAAACACAGATTCCATGTTACCTACCAAGAAAAAAACCTCATTTGGAAACCTGGAAATTAAGCTGATATGCCATTTTGGTAAACATTGAAAATTGGAAATGTTCTCATTTTCGGGACGAAATAGTATTATCGACTTGTGGTTTTGGTGCTTGTCTTAAACAATTCCTAGCTAAGCTAAGTTTAAGGGCACTTATAATTTCTACCAGGCCCTCCATAATAAAACTCAGGATCTTCAACATAGTCTTCAACATAGATAGCATCATAGCAGTTGAACTCGTCCATGTAAGTGTCAGCCCATTCAGGGATTTTCAGTGCAGGTGAATTGTCATGTATTCTCATTCTTGTTATGACACCTGAAAATCCCGCAGTACTAGCAAAGCGTCCATTCCCCATATCTGTTTTTGTGTGGGGAGTAGTTCCTACTCTTGAGCTATAGACTTCACCTCCCCATTCAACACCTGTTGCATGATAGCTCAATGCGAAAAACAGCTCTGGCGGCCAATAACCGATGTTAATTCTCTCCCCGTATTGCACCCACCAATTGCTTGTTACTGGATCCTAAATTTGGAAGCAAATAAAAAAGAAACTCAATCGAAGATATGAGAAGAACACTTAATATTACATTGTCTTTTTTAGATATCAGATATGTTATATATATGTTGCTAAACTGTACATGTTATGTTATTAAACTGTTGAGCTGACCTTGAAGATGTAGACAATTATCTCATATGGAAGCCCATCAGGAACGGAGATTGGATAAATTGCTGCACCAAGAGCAATTTCACTGCTAGTCTGAACAAATCCAGGACAAGTAAGATCAAAGCAACCAGTTTTCTTTGAACCATCAGCCTGCAGGAACATCAGAAATAACATCAAGTCTAGTGGAATTACTCACATGAAAACTAAGTCATGAAACACGTCAACTTACAGTCCAGTATATGAAAAATCGAGTATTTCTGTCCCCGTAGACGCTTGGATTTACCTAAAGAGGGATTCCGAGTTATTTTTGGGACTAAAAGTTATGCCATGAACATGGAATGTAACAGAAGTAAGTAGCATCAAGATGAAAGTGAAAGGGTTTATGTTAATATACCGCCCATCCAGATTCAACACTCTCAAAGGCAAAACTTGGACCGTTTATGAGACAAACTTGAGAAGTAGTATATTCATCATCAAGCTCAACAGAAGGGGCACAAACTTTTATGTCTCCTTTGGCTCCAGTATAACTGTACCCTTCTGTAAGCAATATTGCCTTCTGAGGCCATCACAAATTACCAACAACAAAAAAAAACCCCTCTTCATGAGATGTAATTAATTTACCAATCAAAAATGTGAAAATGGGGAGTTAATGTACCGAGTGGTTTGCTCGTAGAAGGTAGACAGATTTGTTGTCACTAGATTCTGCAACATGACGAGACAGGATACTGTGCTTCTTTCTTCCATAGTCCTTAACTGAGCTAGCTCTAAGCAGGTCCTTTTTTCGAATTCTTCGGACTGGGATCGTTCCTTGAGGACAGCTTCCACTTTTCTTCCATGTTTGCTTCACTGTCACGGAAGATTGTTCACTCCTTTTCTTCAATCTATCCATTTTTGTCGTTGTCTTTGTCTCCTTCGTCAGATCATATGTTGGTGCTATCTGAAAAAAGACTCAAAGCATTTGTTAGATTATCAGTAAATATATAGTCACAGAGAAGAAAAATGTGTTTACTTTCAACTAGAACTTATACAAGGCAGACCTGGATGGTGTGGTTTCTGAGAGCAGGATGGTCAAAAGCTGGCTGCTTGTAAATGTCAATGCAATCAATGATATCACCATCCTCACTCTACAAGCAATCATATGAGCTGATTAAATGAATACAATGAGAAGAAAACTTATGTCAAGTTCTGGACAATTCAAACCTGAATGGTTTTAACTGCAGGCCTTCTAAGCTGGGTTAATTTTCTTTCAACTTCCAGAATCTTCTGTTTAGAGAACACATTGCCCTCCACAAGCACCCCACATCTAATTAGAGTCACTGTCACTCCCACCATAATTACCATCATCCCCCTTAATCTAATCACTTCACCACCAGACAACCCTTTCCCCATTTTTCGTTAACTAAACTCTGTCTGATATGTACTAAATCTCAGGTAATTCAAATACCCAAAATTATAAAATGGAGATTGATCATCTTCCTTTCAGAATCTAAGATGAGCTTGGGTTATCTTCCTAAACCCGTATATATTTTCTGATAACTATATATATCTGCAAAATTTGCATGATTCACCTTCCAATCATGCAACTTACACATTTTTATTCAATATTTGAATTGTCACATGTTAAATTCAAGATGGGTATCCTGTTGAATATTTAAACAATTCCTTAGAATTGGAGTTGGTTAAACCTAGCCACACAAATCTTTAGCCAATGAAGAATGAAGGTTAAATTTCTACAATATGGCTTGGTTCCTTCCCTCGGCTTTACTATTTCTTAAAAAAATTAGGGGAAAACGAGTATAGCCGCCCTAAACTATAAAAACCGTGTACAGCCGAACGGCTATACTATTTTTAAAAACAATTAAGAAAATACCGGGTACCGCCGTTCGGCTATACTATTTTTCTAGCTATACCTTTTATATTTATAGAGTATTACAGCCGATCGGCTATACTTTGGATAGACTACGATTTTTATTATTACAAATGGTATAGCCGGACGGCTATACTACAAAATGGGGGCGGTGTTCTTTTTTTATTATAAATAGTATCGCCGCGCGGCTATACTGATTTTTTTAAATAATTAATTGAGTATAGCCGACCGGCTAGACTAAGGCTTTGCTAGACTTTTTTGGTATAGCCGCGCGGCGATATTCGGATATTTTTATATAATAAAAACGGTATAGCCGCGCGGCTATATATATATATATGAACAAGAATTTGCATTCACATCGAATAGAAAATTTTAAAAGTAGAGCCGCACGGCGATACCCTCGTTCAAATATGTCGGGGACTTTTGACACTTCCACCAGACTTCCAAACAGATATGGAAGCTCTTTGTAACCGGTATTACAAATTAGCAAATTACACACAAACAGATATGGGCAGTGTTTCTTCTAGTTTGATTTATAGAACTAACTGAGTCATTTCTCCTTACCTTCAAATCGCAACTTAACACGTATGCATAAATAACTTATTAAAAGCATGTTAAAAAATTTACACTCATGTCAAATTAGTTTGCATGCTAAAAATGAACGACTCATTTTCAGCAAGGAACCAAATATTTTTCTTGATTTATTATTTTAAAAAAATGAAATTCCAAGTCCTTTGTGCAAAATTGAACTTGTTAATGTACACATAATCGACGCCAATACACCAAAAACGTCACTTCTCTCTAAATCTAAATCCAAATAATGTGCAACCTTTGGATAGAACTTCGGTCAAATTGAAGATGGTAAGTAACTAACGCAAAATTTTACCAATTAATTAGGAGATTTCCACTCCATAAGGCTTTTCTTTTTTGGGACGAAATAGAATCATCCTTGTTTTTGGTGTTTATGTCCAAAACTACGTTATTTTGAGGATAAGAGTTTTGGGTTTTTATAGTTTATATTGGAAAAATAAATGAAAGTTTAAAATGACATAATTACCCATTATAATGGGTCTTAAACAAGTCCTAGCAGAGCTAAGCTAAGCTTAAGGGCACATATAATTTCTACCAGGCCCTCCATAATAGAACTCAGGATCTTCAACATAATCTGAAAGATACCTTACATTATAACAGTTGAACTCATCCATCAAAGTAGTAACTATATCAGGGAATTTCAGCCCAGGTGAATTCTCATGTATTCGGATTCTTCTTATGGCTCCTGAAGTCCCCCAAACAGAATCAGCAAAGTGTCCACTGCCCATATCTGTTTTAGTGTGAGGAGTTGTTCCCACTCTTGAGCTATAAACTTCACCTCCCCATTCAGCACTTGTTGCATGGTAGCTCAGTGCAACAAAGAGCTCCGGCGGCCAATAACCGACGTTAATTCTCTCCCCATATTGCACCCACCAATTGCTTGTTACCGGATCCTATATTTGGAGACAAAAACAGAAAGAAATTCAATCGAAGATAAGGGAAGAAAACCTATTATCGTGTTCCAAGTAGTAATGTTGACATGTTGTGTTGCAAAACTATCCGTTAGGTACGTTATGTTGTTAAATTATTGACCTGACCTTGTAGATATAGACGATTATTTGATATGGAAGCCCATTAGGAACAGAGATGGGATAGATTGCTGCACCAAGAGCAATTTCATGGCTAGTCTGAACAAATCCAGGACAAGTGAGATCAAAGCAACCAGTTTTCTTTGAACCATCAACCTGCAGGAACATCAGAAATCATATCAAATCTAGTGGAATTACTCATATGAAAACTAATTTATGATTCATGTCAGCTTACAGTCCAGTATACGAAAAATCGAGTCTGTCTGTCCCCATATACGCTGGGATTTACCTGAAGGGATTCAGAGCATTTTTTCAGACTAAAAAGTAATGCCATGAACATAAAATGTAACAGAAGTAAGTAGCTTCAAGATGAAAGTGAAAGGGTTTATTAATTTTCATATATATACCGCCCATCCAGATTCAACACTCTCAAAGTCATAATAAGCACCATTTATGAGACAAACTTGAGAAGTACTATATTCATCATCAAGCTCAACAGCAGGGTTATAAACTTTGATGTCTCCTTTGGCTCCATTATATCTATACCCATCTGTAAACAATATTGCCTTCTGAGGCCATCACAAATTACACCAACACAAAAGCCAAACAAACAAAAAAACCCTCTCCATTAGATGTATGTTGTAGTTAATTTGCCAATTAATTAAAAAATGTGTGCGTTTGATTTACCGAGTGGTTTGCTCGTTGAAGGTTCACAGTTTTGTTGTCACTAAACTCTGAAACATGACGAGACAGGGTAGAACTGTGCTTCTTTCTTCCATGGTCCTTAACCGAGCTGGCTCTCAGAAGCTCCTTTTTCCGGATTCTTCGGACCGGGATTGTTCCCTGAGGACAGTTTCCACTTTTGTGCCATGTCTGCTTCACTGTAGTGGGAGATTGTTCTTCATTCCTCTTCTTCCATCTGTCCATTTTTCCCATTGTCTTTGTCTCCTTTGTTGCATCATATGTAGGTGCCATCTGAAAAAAGACTCAAACCACTTGTTATATGGTAGTAAAAAGATATTGAAGTTGCAGAGTAAATCTTTTCTTTTTTTCACTTTCAACTAGAACAACAGAAAGGCAGACCTGGATGGTGTGGTTTCTGAGAGCAGGATGACCAAAGGCTGGCTGCTTGTAAATGTCAATGCAATCAATGATATCACCATCCTCACTCTACAAACAATCATTTGAGCTGAGAATTAATACAATATATGAAGTATAATAAGACAAAAACTTATGTGTGGAGAGCTCATTCTGGACAATTCAAACCTGAATGGTTTTGACTGCAGGTCTTCTAAGTTGGGTTAATTTTCTTTCAACTTCCAAAATCTTCTGTTTAGAGAACAAATCACCCTCCACAAGCACCCCACATCTAATTAGAGTCACTGTCACTCCCAACATAATTACCATCATCTTCATCCCCCTTAATCTAATCACTTCACCACAACACAACCCTTTCCCCATTTGTTTGATTATATATTAAATCTCAGGTAATTTAAATACCCAAAATCATAAAATGGAAACTGACTATATTGCTTTCAGAATCTAAGATGGGCTTAGGTTATTTAAGGACAATGCCACCCACAATGTGCAGCATATATATCTTCTGCAAACTACATATATCTGCAAAATTTGCATGATTCACCTTCCAAATCATGCAAATTTCACATTTTTATTCTATATTTGAATTGCCAAGTGTTAAATTCAAGATGGTAGCTGTTGAATTTTTGGACAAGTGTGTCCTTAACCTTGGTTAAACCCAGCTACATAAATCTTTAGCCAATGAAGAACTGATTGTTAAATTTCTACAGTGTGGCTTTGTTTCCTTCCCTCCAATGGCCTTACTTCAAAATTTCAAATGTACTGATTTCATCATATCTCTACTATATAACTTAATCTATCTATGTTATTAGGTGATAATGCTACGTGTCAATCATAGAATTAAACGGACCTAACACGTGTAGATCATGTCAAATTGTAATTTGCATGTAAGGAGGAATGACTCATTTTAAGAAATGAGACAAATATTTTTCTCGATTATTATGTATAAAAAAATGAAATTCCAAGTTGTTTGTGCAAAGTTTAACATGTTATGTTAGTGTAACACATAATCGATGCCTATACACCAAATACGTCACTTCCCTCTAAATCTGAATTCAAATATTGCGCAATCTCTGGATCGAAATGACAATTAATATGCCTAATTTTACCAATTTATTAGGAGATTTCCACTCTCTAAGAGCATTTCCAGCAGTTTGCCCCTTGTCATGGCAAGGGGAGCCCTAGGGCAGCTACTATTCACGTGAATAGTGGCTGCTCTAGCCTCCCCCAACAAAGTGTGTTTCCAGCAGTTGCCTTTTGCCATGGCAAATACTATTCATTTTTTTATTTTTTTCACAACTTTTTTTACTTAAACAATTCATTTGGATAATATTTTCGGATAAGATTTTTGGGTCTATTCATATCGGATAAGATTTTATTAGTTGTATTGGTTGGTATTTATAATTTTTTTTTTTTAAAAAAAAAAGAAGGTATGAGGATTTAGTGTTAAAAGTGAAGAGTATTGGTTGGTATTTATGGACACTGGTGGACCTATAATTTTTTTAGCGGATGTGCAATATTGACTAAGTATGAAAAATGATTTTTTCGGAATAATTATTTTCTCAAGATAATTTTTGGCGGCTTTTATTCCTTACACATCAAATAAGAAAACTTGATTTTATGGGATTTTAATATGAAGTATATATTGACTTAATGAGCCATCATTTTTAGCCTAAATTGTATTTTGCACTAAAACTGATTTTTCATATTTTGATTTGGTGGGAATTTGATTTTCTAGTATTTTTATTTGAATCCAAATGGGGGGTACTTCCTTATTTACATTGTAAACTTAAGTAAATGGTAAATGTTGAAATGGAAATAAGGTATAGAGAAAAAAAAATCAATAATTTTTTTGGTATTTTTTTTAAAAATTTTCTATTTTTTTATTGTACAAAAATTGGCTACCGTTGGATTGCTGGAAAAAATCTGATTGGAGAGCCCAACGCGCGCCACGTGGACGATTAAAAAAAATTTGGACGCAGGGCTGAAGTCAACGTGACGTCCCCTCGGGCCAGCCCAGTTCGCTGGATCCCACTCCTTGCCCGGGCCACTTTTTGTTGCGGGAAACAGCATTCCCCTTGGTCCCCTTGCTGGAAATGCTCCCAAGGCTTTTCCTTTTGGGGGCGATATAGAATTATCCACTTGTGTTTTTAGTACTTGTATTGTGTTTATGTCTAAAACTACGTCATTTTGAGAATAAGACCTTTGGGGTTTACAGAGTTTGATATTGAAAAAATAACTAATGAAAGTTTAAAACAACATAATTACCCATTCTAATGGGGTCTTAAGCAAGTCCTAGCAAAGCTAACATAAGCTTAAGGGCACATATAATTTCTACCAGGCCCTCCATAATAGAACTCAGGATCTTCAACATAATCCGAAAGGTACTTGACATCATAACAGTTGAACTCATCCATCAAAGTATTAACTATATCAGGGAATTTCAGCCCAGGTGAATTCTCATGTACTCGAATTCTTTTTATGACGCCTGAAGTCCCCCAAACTGCTGACTCAGCAAAGTGTCCACTGCCCATATCTGTTCTTGTGTGAGGCGTAGTTCCCACTCTTGAGCTATAAACTTCACCTCCCCATTCAACACTTGTTGCATGGTAGCTTAATAAGACAAACAGCTCCGGCGGCCAGTAACCGATGTTAATTTTCTCCCCATATTGCACCCACCAGTTGCTTGTTACTGGATCCTAAATTTGGAGGCAAAACAAAAAAGAAATTCAATTGAAGACATGATCGGAAAACTTATTTAGTATTACGAATAATATTAGACATGTTATGTTGCTAAACTGTTCATCAAGTGCGTTATGTTGTTAAACTGTTGACCTGACCTTGTAGATGTAGACAATTATTTGATATGGAAGCCCATGAGGAACAGAGATTGGATGGATTGCTGCACCAAGAGCAATTTCATGGCTAGTCTGAACAAATCCAGGACAAGTGAGATCAAAGCAACCAGTTTTCTGTGAGCCATCAACCTGCAGAAACATCAGAAATCACATCAAATCTAGTGGAATTACTCACATGAATGTTAAGTCCTTATTCATGTCTGCTTACAGTCCAATACACAAAAAATCGAGTCTGTCTGTCCCCGTATACACTGGGATTTACCTGAAGAGGGATTAGAGTAATTTTTCAGACTAAAAAGTTATGCCATGAACATAAAATATGACAGAAGAAGTAAGTAGCTTCAAGATGAAAGTGAAAGGGTTTATTATGTTGACATATATATACCGCCCATCCAGATTCAACACTCTCAAAGTCATAATAAGCACCATTTATGAGGGAAACTTGAGAAGTACTATATTCATCATCAAGCTCGACAGATGGGTTATAAACTTTGATGTCTCCTTTGGCTCCATTATATCTGTACCCTTCTGTAAACAATATTGCCTTCTGATGTCATCAAAAATTACACACACAGAAAAAAAACCCTCTTCATTAGGTGTATAGTTGTAGTTAATTTTCCAATTAATTGAAAATGTGTGTGTGGGGAATTGATGTACCGAGTGGTTTGCTCGTTGAAGGTACACAGTTTTGTTGTCACTTAACTGTGGAACATGACGAGACAAGGTAGAACTGTGCTTCTTTCTACCGTAGTCCTTAACCGAGCTGGCTCTCAGAAGCTCCTTTTTCTGGATTCTTCGGACCGGGATTGTCCCCTGAGGACAGCTTCCACTTTTGTGCCATGTTTGCTTCACTGTAATGGGAGATTGTTCTTCATTCCTCTTCTTCCATCTGTCCATTTTTTCCATTGTCTTTGTCTCCTTGGTTCTGTCATATGTTGGTGCCATCTGAAAAAATACTCAAAGCAGTTGTTATATGGTAGTAAAAAGATTGAGGTTGCAGAGTAAATCTTTGTCCACTTTCAACTTGCACAACAGAAGGCAGACCTGGATGGTGTGGTTTCTGAGAGCAGGATGATCAAAAGCTGGCTGCTTATAAATGTCAATGCAATCAATGATATCACCATCTTCACTCTACAAGCAATCATAGAGATTAATATGAACTGAGTAAATGAATACAATGAAGAAAACTTATGTGAAGGGCTCAAGTTCTGGACAATTCTTACCTGAATGGTTTTAACTGCAGGCCTTCCAAGTTGGTTTAATTGTCTTTCGGCTTCCAAAATCTTCTGTTTAGAGAACAACTTACCCTCCACAAGCACCCCACATCTAATAAGAGTCACAGTTACTCCCAACATAATTACCATTATGCCCCTTATTCCAATCCCTTCACCACAAAACAACCCCCTTCCCCCCATTTGTTGTTAGCTAATCACAAAGACCCAAAATCATGAAATGGAAATTATCTTTCTTTCAGTATATGAGATGGGCTTAGATCCCAACACTAGTTGAATCTCTTTAAGGACAATGCCTCCGTAATATGTAGCACATGATTCTGATTACATATGTGCAAACTTTGCATGGTTCACCTTCCAATCATGCCAATTTCGTTTTGTTTTTCGGTCCAATATTTGAACTGCGGCGTGTAAATGGAAAATGGTATGAGGACTGACATTATGACATGTCCTCGCAAATTAGAATGGCAAAATGATTGTTAAATTCCTACATTATTGCTTCGGTTCCTTCACTTCAATGGCCTTCAAAATTTCAAATGAAGTACTATTATCATAAATCTAAAAACTAATGTGAAAAAAGACGGATACACTAATTTGACTAATTGACCTAATTCATATTTGCTACTTAAAAAACTTTCCTTATATCAAACTTCTCTTTGTAACAGGTATCACAAGTAACACGTATCATGCATATGATTCATATAATTTAATATTTTTTTAATACAAGCGATATTAAAAAAGATGATTCATACATTGGCCATCGATTTTAGGGTAAATTATCGTTAACTTGAGCTAAAAATCCCCGTGTCAGGAGAAAAGTGTGAAATTCCGCACAACGACGCCGTGTAACTGATAGCGTCGATTCGTCGCCCAAGCCCCCCTTATTTATTACTCATCCTGCCACTCCCTACACACAGTGAGACAAAGACGCGGTGAGTAGCTCGAGATTGACGCCAAATCGAAAATGGTGAAATTTTTACTTCAGATCGCTGCGGACCTCGAGAACCTGACGAACCTTCAGCCCCAGGAAGGCTGCAATGACCCCAACTTTTCCTATCTTTTCAAGGTCACCTTCATTTCCTTTCGTCAAGTTTTTTTCTCCAAAAATGCTGTCGATTTTGTCATTATAGTTTGTGTTCGTGTTCAGATTTCTAGGGGTTGTAGCTTAAATTGATGTCGATGTTCGTCGCTTAGTCTCCCGAGCTTGATATAGTCATTATTAACATGATTCTATTCTTTTTGTAATCTTGCAGTTGAAATGTGAGAGGTGTGGAGAGCTGAGCCAGAGAGAAACTTGTGTGAGCTTGAACGAGACTGTTCCTCTTCCATCGGGCAAGGCAACCGTTAATCTCGTTCAGAAGGTAACCATTTCTCTCTCTCTCTCTCTACTAATTGCTCAATGGGCTTTGGAATTTAAGAGCTTATTGAAGTATATGTAGTTTCTGAGGAAATAGAAGGAAAGGAACAGAAGAGTTATGGTAGTTTGTGTTTTCTGTAGTATGCTTGTTTGGTTGAGCAAATGCTTTGTTTGTTTGGGTGCCTAATTGTAGCGACAACTTTGAGATTTTATCGGGATTTCATTTCTCTTCTCTTGGTTAAAGTTTACATATGTGGGTTCCAACACATTTCTCTGTGCAGTTTCTATTTGATGACATATGAGTCAACTACGGTGACATAAGTTATTACTTTTGCATATCTTCAATTCATGGCTATGGGGGTTGTTCCCTTTATGTTTTATCTTTGAACGAATATTTTCTGGTTAAGTTTGCTGTATATGTGTGGTGATTTGCATCTCCCCTTGTAGTGCAAGTTTTGTGGAAGGGATGGAACTCTGACAATGATGCCAGGTCATGGTAAACCACTGACCCAGCAAATGTGTGAAGAAAGGAAGTTTTCCCCCTTGATGATGTTTGAGTGCAGGGGTTATGAGCCTGTGGACTATGTATTTGCTGGTGGGTGGAATGTTGAATCTGTAAGTTTCTCTTCTTCACACATCAACTTCCAATTATGTAGCATATTGTATAAAACTTTCTTATTGTACTTATGGATGGAAAATGACTTCGCTGGGACCTTTGAGCTGAATGGTCTTATAAATAGTAATTGTGTGAACATTCCTAAGCACTAAATCTCAGTAACTCCTGTGAACTTCAGCGCATATGTATAAATTCTTTTATTCTTCTCTTCTTAACTCTCCTTGTTTGTACTTATAGTACATTAAGCATTAAGGATTGCATATCCTATTCCATAATGTGGTAGCGCCTTTCAAAGCTTATTTTGGTATTTTTGTCCTTTTGAGTTCTGATCCTTTCTTTTTGGGGTGAGAAAGCTCAGGTCTCTGTCCTTTAGCATAAAGATCTTAAGGTTAGTACATCTCATGAGCATATCATATTCAAGAGGTGGGAACTGCAGAAAATAGTGATATTTTATTTTTCTGACGTAAGGGCATCCCACAAACAGTATAATTGTCTTGTACACTAGATTTACTATGGAAGCCTACCATGTGGATTGGACCAGAGATGGTGTCACAAAATGTCAACTCATTTTTACTGCTCTGCTTGGCCAGGAGGAGTGTCATGCCCACCTATCGCCATTCCCTACGCCAAGGAGAATAAAAGTGCAAATTAGATTGAGAATGAAATTTAGAAAAAGAAACAAGGAGTGAAAAACGAATTCCTAGAGGCCCCAGTCAAATGAATTTTTGCATTTGAATTGTTGAATTTTTTAAAATAGGAGAATAGTTTCGATTTTTGAAGTTCTAGTTTTCATTTTCGGAAGTTCTACTTATTTATGTACTTCAATCGACTCTGCTGGATGCATCTTTATTTCAACTTAAACTAGTGTTCATTCTTGTAGGTGGAAGGGACAAAATTTGACCATGTTGACTTGTCAGGAGGGGACTTTGTTGAATATGATGAGAAGGGAGAGTGCCCAGTTATGGTTTCCAACCTCCGTGCCAGTTTTGTGGTGAAGTAGAGTGGAATATGCTACAAGAAATATGCCATGGTATATAGAATTTGGCATGTGAAGCTAACTGTTCCTTTGTGAATAAGATAGAAACATCTACATCTTGGCTGTTTCATGTGCTGTGACTGTGAGCAGAAAACGCTCTGTAGTATCTTAGTATTAGTCTTCAACTTTGGCGTTTTCATAGATAGTAGATATACTGGCAAACTACAGAGCTAATGTTGTGGCATTGTTCAGTTTTCAAGGATCTCATTGTCAACACGACGTGTTATCACACGTTCAAAATGAATGCATGGATGGTTTTCTTTGCAAATCGTGGTTACATCATGAATTGTTTTGCAGGATCGCCATTCACAGCAGCGAAGGCTTTATGATTCTACTCCTCTCTGGAGTTAAAACTGCTTGTTTTTTTTAGTGTGGTTGATTCTACTCCTCTCTCGAGTTAAAACTGCTTGTTTTTTTTTAGTGCGGTTGATTCTACCGACCAATCAATTTTATTTTTAGCGAAGTTTAGATCGAGATCGGGAACCCCATGTATATGCACCATTTTGGATCCTCAGCTGTCCCTGTGTCCTTATTGCTGGGGGAATCTTAGATGCGGTTGTAGTTGGGTGTAGACTCTACATATGGAGAGAATCTTAGCTATCTCCGATTTTGTATTCCCGTGTCTACAACACTCGTTACGTAACATGACGATTGTTGTAAACAGATAGCATAGAGATATACGACCGATTACGTAATGGGAAGTGTTGTAGGCAGAAGGGGATATACAACTGGTTACTAGGCAGATTTGATCCTACATATGGCTCCTACCTTTACACTTTCTTTAGCTTTCCTCATGGCTTGTTTGGTTTGGTGAAAGAACTGAAATCCCACCTAACTAGAGGCCAAGACTTGCGGTCTGCCCAACTACGCCACTCGTGTTTATTACGTTGTTTAATACAATTGGTCGGGTTCTCCACCACCATAAGACTTTAAGCTTCATCAACCAATCAAAGCCTCATTAACTTGTTTAAACTAAACCCAATCTCTAACCAATAATTACATTTACATCTATACTTAGGCTTCTGTACTCTATCCTTTTATCTGTTCTTTTATGTGGCTACGAGGGTGAAAAAGAGTTGATTTTCTTGCTTTGATGCTAATTATGCTCCAATAGGGTGAAACGTGTTCCAATAGGGTGTTTGCAATTAATAATAAAAAATAAAGCTTCTAGTGTTATCTGCCCATCTTAAAACCAAAGTGTATTGCCAACCGGGGTTTAGTGCGTGGAAAAGAACTTTAATTTGCAGAATAGAGGTCTTAAGTTTGAATTCCCACGGCATCATAGATGTATGTGAGAAATCTCACTCGCATTAGTTTAAAGACTATCGCTTCTACTAAAAAAGAAAAAAGAAAAAAAAAAACATATTAATAGCATCCGAAGGTCCATTTTTATCTTCTTCTTTTTCATTTTTTCTTTTTTATGACACCATTTTTATCATTTTAGTTACTAATGAATTTACCCAAAAATACACACACGCAACAGATGAGGCAAGTTCGTTTTTCCACCAATCTATGAAACTGGATGGGTGCTTATATATCACACTCCCAATTTAGCCGACAAGCTCGATCCCCTCTCCCTCCGCACTCACACCGCACCGTGTGAGAGACATTGTTAAAACTTGAGATTCTACAGATCATCACAGAGTCGTCGTCTTCCTCAAAATTCTCTCATCTCACACACAACGCGCACACTCAGTTGGTCAAGACTTCTCCCCAAGTTTTTCAAACTCTCATTAGTATTGGTCACGGCACCTTTTTGTTTCTGCCGCCAAAGTCTCCTCTGCGTGACCTCCTTCTTCTGTTCTCTTGTTCTTCATCCAATTGACCACTTCCCGTATTCTTGGGCGCAATTCAAGCAGTCAAATACAAGGATCTAAATCCTTCATTCGTCTTCATCAATTTAGCTTTCAACCTCAAAAGTCACATGGTATGTCATACTTTTTTCTCTGGTGAAAGAGAAGTTCGATCCATATTTGTATGATCTTAGCTTAGATCCTTGATATAAGCTCAGTTTATTAAGAACCCAAGTGCTAAAGTTAAGATTTTTTACGCAGTATGTGTTCAGTACTGTAGTATTAGTTTCGGATCTGTGCAGTGTGTTTTTATTTGGTGGGGTTGCAGTT